CAAATTCAGGCCTCTCAAACTTCTGACCAACCAGCTTCAAGTTAGGGTTCCGACATCCTCCTTTTTGGGCTTGATTAACTTGCTGGAGTGGCTTACAGAACTCAGGGAAATGTATTTACCTTTGCTGATTTATTATAAAAAATATTAAAAGGTGACAGATGAATATGGAGGGTGAGACATTGGGGAAGGTGCAAGGAGCGTCCATGTCCTCCTGGGGATGTAACTCTCCAAGGACCTGCATGTGTTCAGCCATCTGGAAGTGCTCTGAACCATGTCCTCTTGGGCTTTTTTTGGAGACTTCATTGGATAGGCATGATTGAAAACTATCCAATCTACTACATAGACAATCATGTAGTGATGTGATCGGACAGAAAGAGGAAGATATAATGCTAATAAACTAAGCGGGAAAATCAGCAAGACCTGTCTGTTCAGATTCTTCTTGACCTCTCTGTGCAGCATTTCTGTCTTCAGGGCATAGAACAGGAGCCCGTCTGAAATAAGGATCTTATGACCCACAATCAGGCAAGAAAAGGTTAGAGTTCTGCTTTGGGCAGAGGAAAGCTTTTCTGAGACCACAAATTTATAACAAAGGACTATAACAAGAGGTATGAGAGTCATAAGCTAGGAACTGTGCATATGTGCGTGTGTGTATGTGTATATACAGTAAGTACATACAGATGAAGTGGTGCATAGAGTGAGATATTGGGAAAGGTGCATAGAACTTCCATGCCATACTGGGGCTCAACCCTCCAAGAACCTGTGTGTGTGTGTGTGTGTGTGTGTGTGTGTGTGTGTGTGTGTGTGTGTGAATATGTGTATATGTATAGTAAGTATATAGTAAGTATAGTAAGTATGTAGTCAGTATATGTATAGTAAGTTCCTTACATATGAAAGCGTTCCATTCCAAGAATGCATTCATAAGTCCAATTTGTTCATAAGTTCAACAAAGTTAGCCTAGGTATCTAACTAACCCAATCGACTGTAACAACCACATCACTGCTGTTTTTGTGCTTGTTTCCAGACATCATGGGCTTGAAATAAAGATACTGTACTACTGTACTCTATATAGTACTGTACAGTAAAGTGCACAGAAGCACAACCACTTATAGAGAATGCATACACATGAGAATGTACGCCAATGTATGCCAGACATGTGAACAAACTTATTTGATTGGACGTGCAAACACACGATTGCCTCGTGTATATACACAGTAAGTTCCCTACATCCAAATCTTCAATTTGTGAACTTTCAAAGATGTGAAAGTGTGTTTGCATGTCTAATCACATATATAATATCTCATACATATGCATGCATATATTTATATGCCTATACATATATGTATATAAATAGATATATATATGAATAGATACAGATATAGATAGCCTATTATCTCATATATAATCACAATAAGAAATACTAGTATCTGTTATAAAAAACAAAAATAGCACAGAAAAATGCTTTATGAGCACAGTGGTGTTTATTGTCTAATCCAGGATACTTTCCACAGTGAGAGTTGCAGAAAGTAGGTAAAATAATTAGAATCATTATAATATTTGAATATTTAATGTATACAGCAAGTTTGCTATATTGGTTAATATATAAAATAGTTCTTTTAAAAAAACTATTTTCAAAAACATTTTAAATAATGATGTTTTATTAAAAGTGAACAACTTAGGACCAAAAACAAAAGCAGATGGGACACTAGGACAACAGGTATAAAATGGAACTGCCCCTGAAAAACAGAAAATATGGCAACCATACTTGTGAAGTCAAAAATAAATTTTATGTGCTAACTTCTGAGGAAACAGTTTTATTATCTCCTCTTGTTAAACTTCATTCATTTTTGCTAAGACTCCAGCACACACGGGCTCACACTCTAGAGAAGGGGTCCCCAGCTCCTTGTTCCAGTTTGTGGCCTGTTAGGAACTGGGTCACACAGCAAGATTTGAGTGACAGGTGAGCAAGTCAAGCTTCATCTGTATTTACAGCTGTTCCCCATTGCTCGCATTGCTGCCTGAGCTTGGTCTTCTGTCAGATCAATGGGGCATTAGATTCTCATAGGAGCCTGAGCCCTATTGTGAACTGTTGTGTGCTCCTTATGAGAATCTAATGCCTGATGATCTGAGGTGGAGGTGAGGTGGTGATGCTAGTTCTGGGAAGGGGCTGCAAATACAGACCAACATTAGCAGTGAGGTTTGATGGTACAGAGACCATAATAAATCAACTGCTTGCAGACTTTTATGTCAAAACCCTATCAGTGAGTGGTGAGTTGATGTACTTCATTGTACAGCTGCATCTGGTGGTAGGGTTTAAGTCAGAATCTGACACTTATTTTAGTCTGTGGCCCACCCATTATTTTATTTACCACTTCCATCCGGCCTCTTTTTTTAAATGGTGAGTTGTATAATTATTTCATTATATATTGCAACAATAATAGAAATAAAGTACACAGTAAATGGTATGCACTTAAATCATCCAAAAATCACACATCTGCCCAGTTCACGGAAAGATTGTCTTCCACAAAACCAATCCCTGATGTCAAAAGGGTTGGCGACCGCTGCTCTAGTGGATGTTATGCAAACTCATGGTTTTTATATCAATTGTGAGTCTAACATTGTGTCCTCTATCAGTGCCCCAGAAGGATGGACTGCCTTGTTCTGAACATTCTAGATGTGCTAGATGCACTTTGCCATTTGAACAGATCCAAAATGTCTGGATCCATCTTTGGAGCAAGAGAGTTCCTCAAGCCCTGGAGGGAAATAATTGCCCTGCAGTTATCTCTTTCAAAATATTGAGTATGTGATCTTCATAGTTGATGATTTTGTATTTAAAATATATGGCTATACTGATATGAGGCAATAACAGAGACCTTTGACCTCTAATCCTTTAGGGTAAGCTGTCCACAGCTATTCTCATCTGCCTTTTGCTTTAGTTCCCCCCCCCCCCAAATAGTTGCTGAGGAGAATAAAAGACTTTACATGTCCTTTTAGTCTTGGGTATCTTTCTTAGTATGAAGTAGTTAGAAAAACAAACACTTTAGATTTAGAAAAATGTGCCTTAAACCTTAGGCATATCAATATCGCCTGAGTGTCAAAATACGCAAATCATCTTATCCAGTTGGGAATATCACAGAACCTGTCATCAGGATTAACAAGATGTCCCAGGTAAAGAGCCTGGCATGATGTCTGGCAAATAGTAGGTGACTAGTCAATGGCAGCTGTAAGTTATTAGGCAAGGAATACAAGATTGCAAGTAGGTAGGGCTGGTTTTGGAGGAAACCGTCACATGACCATCTTTATCTCCTATTTCAGCTTCCTTCCCACTTGCCTCCACTCCAGGCACACCGCACACATCATCTTCTATTGCTAGCACTTGGGGCTTTCATGTGCCTTTGGAATGCCCTCTTTTTCCTACTCTAATATCTCCAGTTCCTTGTTTATCTTCCTCATCTCCTTCCTTCAACAACCTCCAGCCTTATGACTTCTGCTTTTGCTGTCTGCCATGTCTAACCTTGGAAAGGTTAATGCCATTTATGCCAAACTTTAAAAACTAACCTCATTTTTCTATGCTAATCTTGCTAGGAGGTATTTCCATTTTAATGAAGATCAACATCCCATCTTAATCGAATGAAGGTGCAAAATTTACGTTGTAGGCATCAGCAATAGGGAGAGAAGAAATACTTTCAATGATAACAATAAAAATAAATCGCTCTTGTTTATTTATTTGGTGGCAACTCTGTTTTGCACTGGGCATCTTATGCATCACCTGATTTAATCCTCACAACTAATGCATTAGGTACGATTATTTTTCTTTTTCTGATGAGACAAATGAAGCATGGAGAGTTAATGCGAAGTACCCAAAGTCATATACACCTAGTAAGTGGGGAAGGCAGGTATGACGCTCAAGTCCATCTAATTTACTGTCATCTCTCTTATGCTATCACTTACAGGCTGAACTTACATCAGGGCAAGAATTTACGTGCCTTCTTGTCATCATTTTCTAGAGCCTACTTCAGGGCCTAATGCCTGGTAAACAGTCTATTAAGATTGAATAAACGAATTAATGAATAAATATTTATTCTGTCCACAATCTCCTCTCTATATTACTCTGGGATCACCTCCTGCTTGGAGGTCCTACCTTGCCAATATTCCAAGAACTCTAAACTGCTAGTACTTTCAGATACACTCTTCTAATTTGTGACCTTGTGCCTCTGTCATCCTGTCCCTTCTACCTGCAATTTCTCACTTCTCCAAAATCTCTGGGCTAACTTGCACTTGCCCTGAGAGAATCAGAGTTCAAGAGTATCTCCCTCCAGGAAGTTCTGGCTTTTTTTCTCAACAGCTCTTTCAATGTTCCCTTCCTCCTTCTCACCTTGGCTCTCTTCCATTAGACAATGGTGTTTTTGAAGGCAAATGCCTGACATATTTTTATTTTCCTTTGTTTGTACCTGATATATGTTTGTGTTTTATTTTTGGATTTTTTTTATTATGGGGGAGAGTGTTCTTCTGGCCTTGCCTAGTTTGTCAGTTCTACATTACATTTTTGAACACTTTAATGTTGCCTAGCCTGGCTTATCAATTCTAAATTGCATTTTTTTCATATTTTAATATCTCTGATATTGCTATGTCCTCCTGTTGATGAAATCTTAAAATTATAATTGACAGCGTTTTTTCTGACTCAGTAAAACAAAAAATAAGGGTTGTATGCCTCCGACACTCAATAGCATCTTTGATTTAGTGAAAGACGGTGATAGATATTAAATAAAAAGTTTATCAATGAATGAATGTCACTCATAGCCCTCCTTAAATTACAGTATTATTCCTACTTAAAATCTAGCTGTTCTGCATCTCAGGCATCATGGCAGGACAGTAGTTGAGAGTTATTTTTTATCTATGCTAGGATTTCCTAGTACTAGTAGGGCAGATAATAAATCCGCTCAAATTGTCTTCATCCTCCCTTGCTGGAATGATGTGACCTATTCCATATGTTTATCTTCTAGGTGAAATTGATCTTCAAATTCTCTCCAAATTCCAGGCTCAATACCCACGAGTTCACATCAACAATGAAGTTGTTGAGCCAAGTGCTGAACAAATTGCCAAGTACAAAGGTGCCTGTAACCTACAGTGCTATACGCCAGATCCTATCCCAAAGGCTGATCAACAAAAACTGTTCCCTTGGGTGATTAATAATATGGTTACTGTAGTATGCGTTTCACAAGCTTATTGGGAGAACCTAATTAATTCTTGGCAGGCATGACTAAACATCTCAAATGTGAACAGTAAATAACTAGAGTCTTCTATTGACTATCCTTCCCCAGTTGTCATCAAGTACTATTTCTGATGATTATTCTTAGGGGCAGAGTCATTCACTGATTTGCAAATAGTTAAACAGTCTTAAAAGCATTTATGTTTAGTGAGTCACAGTAGGAACTGGCAGACATTTTCTGAAAAAGGCCAAATAGTAAATATTTTAAATTTGGAGGCCGCAGAATCTCTGTCAAAACTAATCAGTTCTGCCCTGTGTCACAAGGCAGCCATAGACAATAGGCAAACTAATGGCCACGGATATGTTTCAATAAACCTTTGTTGAAAGACTTTTATTTTTATTTATTTATATTTTTATATAAAAACATTAAACTTTGAATTTCATACCACTTTTATACATACATACATATAAAATATTATTATTTTGCTTTTTCTCAACCATTTAAAAATGTAATGGCATAAAACATGAATGACAGAGACACAAAATCAACAAATAGAACAATATATGCTTTGAGCTGGCAGACCAGGTATAGCCTCTGGACATGGTTTGCCTACTCCTGAGTTATACAAACATATCACTTGTTTCACATTCACTTTTCATTGATAAAATTCACCAGTTGAATCCTCATTAACACTAAAGCAATATAATCTATGCCTGCCTAGGATTCTTAGAATTATTTCTTACTAACTCTTTCTTTTGCCTCTGATTTCATTTAATACTAGGAAAAAACCAGGACAAACTCTTTGTTCTCCTAGAACTACATAAAAAAGAAAAATATGCTTTATATATGATGTGTATATAACATTGATTGCATTAAAATTCTAGATGAAAATGGGTTCCACGTTTGCAATTAAAATTGATGGTGTGCCACCTTTTCTGTGTATTTTAGAGCTTGTAGCCAGGACATCAAACCTGGAGAACATAAAGTTTGCTTGGCATAAAGAGACATCATCTGAATATCAAAATAGAATGATCGAGAAAAAGGAGCTTCCAAAGTGGGACTTTATTCATATGATTCAGGTAAGAAATGTTCATTATAATATACACTCAGAAAGAAGATTTTTTAAATGTGTGTTAAGAATGCCCACTATTCTAATTTTAAAAAGAAAAATGAAAATCTTCTGATTTCTAATTTTACAAGTGACCATGATCTGTTCAAACAGAGGATAAAGATGTTGATAATACTAAGATTTTTTTAAACATTCTAAAAAAACAGTTTTCTCTACTCAAAATACTTCCACAGTTTTTAATTTCTAAAAATGTTGACTTAATTCATTTTTCTAATTTTTGAAAGCTCTGATTGGATGAACCAATGCCCCAGAGTGTTTCTGAGTCCTATGTTTGACTCTAGTGGCCTGACTATGGACACATGGCCAAAGGAGGAGATCAGATGATACTTCAGATCAATAAAGTTTTATTTTCATTGTCCAGAACCATCAGACTAGCACATGCACTTCTGGAAAGGGGGTGACTAGGAAGTAAATAGCATGGAGCTGGATTTCCAGGAACACTAATATTTCTGAATAGCATTAAGAGAGGTGTAGACTTTGGAAGTTAGCTACCTTGAGAAAATGTGCATATGTTGGATGGAAATATCACTTGATTAACAACAAAATGCTTTTTGCTTCCTGTGTTTCACACCCATAGTCACCCCAAAAGAATTTCTTTTACAAGAAATGAAATTAAGAAATGTCTCTAGATTGACATATCCAGACAATCCTACATCTCTGTTCCTTTAACTGATGAAAACTTTTGCCTGTCAGGGAGTACTTCACATTGTCCACCAAGCCAGGATGTTTCTTTCTTAGATTTGCTTTTTTTCTCACTGTCTCACATTACTTTTTCTTAACTTCCTTCTCTCCTTACTCTTCCTGCAATCTCTACCACACCACTCATTCTGAACAGATGACCTCACTTCGTATTTTCTAGAGAAAATAGAAACCATCAGATGGAAACTCATTTTCACACTCTAAACTTGCACACACAGCTGCACTTGTGCCCATTATCTCCTTCTTCCACCATGTTACAAAAGCCTCCACTTATGCCTTGGATTTTTTTTTCTTTCCGTTGTATATATGGTTTCAGTTGTATATAGGGATCAGCTTCTTTATTCCATTTCTCTCAAAACTTCCATGTTTGTTCTTTCTTTCTTACAGCAATCCTGTCTCCCTCTGCATCACTATCTTGTTCTTCTCTCTTTCTCTCTTTGCCTACTCTACATTTTTCTGTGTAGTGTCTCTGTCGCTTCATTGCTGCTTAGAGTCCTAATACCCCTATGACATTTTTTTCAATTTAATATTCACTATCAGCCTAGAAAATCTCAACTGCCTCTTAGAAATATCCGCTGTGGTCTACCTTCTCATTGTTTAGCCAGGTCATATCATAGATTTTTAGTCTTCATTTGGACTCTGTATTTGGATACCTACCTGAAGTCTCTGTGTTAGACAGCATGGAGTGTGGCACCCCTTGAGGCATCATGGGCCGTGTGCAGATCCATTTTATTTCATTCATTGAGAAGAGATATAGTTGGAGTTGTTTTCCCTTTATGCAATGAATCATGTTATGGGCATGCTACATGGAATATTGAATTCTTGTTCAAGAGAGATGAAGATGTGGTATAAGTGTCTGTGAGAGTGGGGCCCCAGGAGGTAAGCCATTAGGGAAAATTTCCCACAGTCTATGCGTAACTCCAAGCTCTGTGTTTTGGGTGGAAACGTCTGCACTTCACTAGGGATTGGTCCACAATTATTAAAAATGGGTGGGCTGACCCCTACACTCTGTAACCAAACATATAATCTCGTGCTTTATCCAGTCCAGTTCTCTAGAGAATCTGTCAACATCAAGCCTGTCACATTTTCTGTAATTTTTTAAAAAAGCATCTGCGAGCATATGGAGAAGCTAGTGCAAAGGGCTTAATTTTAAGGCAACGTTCCATGAAATGGAAATGGAAAGGGTCTCTTTTCATGGTGCTGGAACCATTTTCTCCCAGAAGAGCTGCAATTCACAAATTTTAGAATAGGCATAGGATCAATGTCCCCATGTGGAATGGTGACTAAGTGTCTCTAGCTATAAATGTCTGTGTTATAGAAAGAGTAGATTTAAGATCATTTGACTCTAGTTGAACAAATACCATAGCTTTTACTTTTTCCAAATATTTTCTCACATTATTGTTCTATCTCTCCATATAACATCTTTAATCTTTACATTCTTATGTGTATTGTTGGGTAAAAATTCACTCAACTGGAAAATCAAACTTTCTAGTCAGTATCTTGTCCAAGCAATAAAGACTTCAACATAGAGAAGTGTCTCATTTCTCTTTTTTCTCTTTTCTAGATGCTTTACTATGTAAAGGACATCCCAGATACCCTGAAGTTCTTCCATAGTCTCCTAGGTACAAATGCAAAGATTCTCATTATTCTTGTGTCAGGTAAGCTATTTTCATCCAACCCGAATTTTTAAAACAGTGATAATGTATGTATTCAGGGACTCATGTGTTTAAAGGTAGTTGTGTATTGCATCTTCATTATAAAATGGTTCGCCTTGACCTCTAATCATACAATTTTTTTTAGCATTAAGAAAATCATTCACAATAGTTCTCAGTGTAGAGGATGTAGTAGAATTAAGCACTGATTTACTTCTTTCATTTGGGAAAATATGTCTTTGTTTTCTATGTATGAATTATTTTTATATAGATTAGAGCAAATTCAACTGATAAAAGTTTTAAAATGAGACTAAAATAGCAAGTGTTTATATTTACCTACTTTTAATGTCATTTGAGTATCAGTTTTCCCACTGTGATGCTTATTAATAAATACATAATAGTTTAAATATTTCAGATGCCATGATATTTGATTAATTTGCATTCCTAGAACCATTATCCACATTGTTCATTTCTGTAGGTTTTCTCAGATACTTATCAAAAATGGTTTGCTTGTTTTGTTGTGGGATGGAGTTTTATTTTCCAATGGATACATGTGAGCATGTCAAGTTTCTTCCAGGGATATAGTAAGTACCACATAGATAACACAAGTAAACATTGGTGGATATTGAAACATTGACATTGTTGAGGTCAGCATTTGATATTATACTTTCATTCAGCAATCTTTATGGATTGACTATCTAGTGCTACGTGAGTTGATTTTAGATGTATAGCAGACTGTCTTCATAAGCTTACATCAGATCCCATACTCAAAAACCATATATCACAAAATTCATTTTTTCTTAAATATAAGGAATAGCTTTAAAGATGACAAACATGGCTGTTGCTTGTAATTTTGAGTTTGAACTTATGTGGAAATTAGCCAGTAGAGAGCTCCTGCACACTACCTCTTCCCAAAGGGAGCATTTTGATGTAATATTTTTATCTCTAGTTAGTTAAAAAATACTCATTTTTAAGAGAGAGATCTGGCTTCCCATTTTGAAAGGCTATGGAAACTGGATTCTTCCTACTAACTTCTCTCTAGCCTAGGACACTTGGATAAAGTACTATGTACTGCATTTAGAATTACAAATTAAAATTAGTTATCAACATGGTAGGCAGCCTAGTCTTAATGTTCTGCATCAATAATACAAAAAAAGTGTCGCAGACAGAAATAGCAATTCATCCAGAAGTCATATGTTTTATTTTAGAATATATTTCATCTCAACAGTATATCCACTCACTTACTTATATTTAGTTTATTATAAAATATTTCAGAAGTTAAATATTTGGGTACCAGAAGGTGGTTTCTGTGAATATATAACTACCACAAGGAAAAACAAAACAAAACAGTCTAAGGTTTAGAAAGCAGTAGTCCACAAGCAACTGAAAATTGAGTAGATACACTTATGGCTACAGTATTTTTCTGGCTGTGTCTTGAATGAATTAATACAGTCCATGGTTTATTGGCATCAAGGGATGTAAAACTCAAAATTGATCTAGTGAAATGTCTTGTGTGATAGTATATGGAACAATAATGTTGAGGCACTACTAGTTGTGTGAACTTGATCTCTGCATCTCAGTGCATTCAAGGATTACTTCTGGATAATCATACCTACAAGATGTTACATCTATTCATTTATGTGGTTCATAAGTACCATCTGTATATACCTTCATGGGAAAAATCAAAAGAAAGGTGAGTAAAGATAACAAAATCATTTAGCTTTTTTTGAAATGTATTTTGAGTCAAAAATTATTCAATGCACTTGATGGTGAAAATATTTTACTCACTTCCTCAAAATGCAGTTCACAATTTTTCATTACTGCTTATAGCATAGGAGACAGCTGTTCCAAAAAGGAAAATATTGTTAATAGGCATAAGAATGCAATAAATAACAGTTGCTGGATTACTACAAGAATTCTGATAACCTCCTTCCTTTACCGTGTGCACTTCTTAGAAGAGATTTGCACAGCTCTAAAAGAAATATCACAGCCATTTCTTCCAAAAAGGAGAACCACTCAGTTAAAGGAGAAAATAGATTTAGATTTTTTATTTTGGGGTTTTCACATCTCTTCCTTCTATTGCTAAAAATGTCTTAGCTTTGTTGCCTGTGTTTCTCAAAAGTGCTATGTAAACAAATTAAGTAAATATGTTAAATTTTTAAAAAAATAAGCCACTTTTCTCAATAAAGATTACTTTGAGGAGAAAACAGATTCTACCTGAAAAGAGGAATTGAATTGTCAAATATGTTGCTCATTGTCATCAATTTAGTATAACTAGAATGTCCCCAGGGTCCCCAGTCTTATGGGCTCATACTTAACTTCTTATGGGCTCATACTTACCTCTTTTTTTTTTTAAATCAGAGTCTCACTCTGTCATCTAGGCTAGAGTGCAAGGGCATGCTCACATCCACCACAACTTCGACCTGCTGGGCTCAGGTGATCCTTCCGCCTCAGCCTTCCAAGTAGCTGGAACTACAGACATGCGCCACCATGGTCCACTAATTTTATTCATTTATGTATTTATTTATGTATTGTAGAGATGAGGTCTTGCCAAGTTGTCCAGGTTGGTCTCGAACCCCTAGGCTCAGGCAATCCTTTCGCTTCTGTCTCCCAAAGTGCTGGGATTACAGGCGTGAGCCACCACACCTGGCGATACTTAATTCATAAAAGTCCAGAGTAAATGGAGCTTTCATCCTATGTAACTTGGGTAGTAGTCCATCCTCCTCCCCATCATTCCTTTACTCCCGAGGATCTCTGGAGTGCTGCTCTTATGCTCCTTCCTGATGACTGCCAGCCACTTTTGCTTCAAATTTCTGCTCCCAGTCCATCTTTTGATTCCTTCTCCTCGAATCTTGCTTGTGTTGCAGTTGCCCTTTCTTATCCTGTTTCGCATTGCCCCTGGCATGGACAGAGCCCTAACTCCTTCATTCTCCAAAGCACCATTCTTTGCTTCTGGAAGAAGTTGAGACCATTTTTGCTTCTGGAAGAAGTTGAGACCTCTGAGAAAGAAGAGCAAACAACAGAATTCCACATGAGACTTCCACACACTCTTTCTGACATTTCTCTTGCTCGATCTTGGCCCACCTCCCACAGACCTGCTCTCACCACTTCCTGCCTGTCCTCTTAGCTCAGAGCTACAAGCTCACTTCCCAATTCCAACCCTTCTGTAGAGCAGTTTAACTCGCTTTTGCACTATCTCTATCACCTAGATAAACTTGTGCACCCATGAACCTGTCTTAACAACAACACATTTCCTTGAATAATTTCTGTGTCCCCTCAGAGTATGAAAGTCACTGTAGTTGCCTTTTAAAAAAATAGCAATAATTGCTTTGGTATATTAATACACCTAATACAAATATGAGAGGGTACCCCCCCTAAAATCCAGAATTTATTTATTAAAAAATGTGTAATTCTTACATGTTTAAACTTCAGTCACTTCAAAGTACTCTCCATTTGATACAATACACCTATTGAGATGCTTTCTTCACTGCTCAAAACAGTTTTTGAACTTGTTGATTTTGATGTCTTTTCGTGTTTCTATCGTTTTTTGTTTCACCTCTTCCACATTGGCAAAACGCTCTCTTTTGAGTACTTTTTTTCATAGGGGAAACAAACAAAAAAGGTCTCTGGGGTGAGATCAGGTGAATAGGGAGGGTGGAGCATGGGAATCATGCTGTTTTTGCTCAAAAACTGCTGAACACTCAGTGTAGTTTGGGCAGGTGCACTCGTAAATCACTCATCATGAAATGGGAAACATGCTGAAAGAATTTCCACAAAAAAAAAATTCACTGAAGCAGAGAGCCACCTCACACAACAACGCTAGCTGGTACACTGTTGCCAATGGAGTCCTAGAATACTTAGCTAGCAAGGGAATCCTGCACTACAAAGGTCCTACCCTCCAAAAAATAATTCTGGTTTTTTGTGGAGTCTCCCCTCTCATATGGGTCAGCTTTGAGAAATAGATCAAAGCTGGTTTCCAACACTGGAAACATTTAATTACAAGAAATTTCCAGTTGGATTTTGTTTTTAATACCAAAGTCAGTAAACATGTACAGAAATGATCCATATTATTGCTAGCCATTGTTGTCGTTTGATAATACAGCTTCAAATTCATACCTGCTAGACTGGTCTGTGGATAGAAAACAAGCTTGATTAACCTCATTGTCTGAGGTATCTGATCTACATGCCTCCTCTCCCCTGTTTAGGATCCATTGCATAGCCCTTCTTCTCAGTCCAAACTGTAATTCTTGAAGCCCCATTCTCCATCTACTTGACAAATTAAAACATTTCTTCTTTTTTTTTTTTTTTTTGAGTTGGAGTCTCCCTCTGTCACCTAGACTGGAGTGCAGTGGCCACTCCCAGCCACCGCAGCCTTGACCTGCTGGGTTCCGGGGATCCTTCCGCCTCAGCCTTCCAAGTAGCTGGAACTACAGGCGTGTGCTACCATGCCCAGCTAATTTTTTGATTTATTGTAGAGAAGAGGTCTCTCCAAATTGCCCAGGTGGGTCTTGAACCCGCGGGCTCAGGCAATCCACTCACCTCAACCAGATTACAGGCTTAGCCACCGAGCCTGGCTTAAGACATTTCTTAGACTTGAATATTGGTCTAAAACTTAGAACACCTACGCTAAATGAGTCAGACTAGGCTTCATTTTTATCGAGATTCTTGCAGTCACTTTCTAAATGGAATTTGATTTATAATTATCTAAGAGTAAAGACACTTCTGTGTGGTAGTATTGTTATCTATGGCTGCTCTACAAAGCAGAAAACTGAGTGCTCATTGTAGACAGATTCAGAACAGCCTAGAATTACTCCCTAAATTAAATTTCTTTTTTTTTTTTTGAGTTGGAGTCTCACTGTCGCCCAGACTGGAGTGCAGTGGCCGCTCCCAGCCACCTCAGCCTCGACCTGCTGGGCTCCAGTGATCCTTCCGCCTCAGCTTTCCGAGTTGCTGGAACTACACAATTTATTTATTTTAAAGATGTGGGGTACAATTCAGGATTAGGTAGATAAGTGGTCATTGCATAGGTAAACTTTGGGCCTCCCTTTGGTCCCCACTTTGTGCCTGGTTGGAGATCAGGCACCCTTATAATGTACTGTTCCACTGCCTTCCCTGGAAGTTACCCATTACTGCCTATCCCTTTCTTACAGTATTATGACAAATGTTCAGGGTCCACTTATAAGTGAGAACATGTGGCACTCAGTTCTTTGTTTCTGTGATAGATCACTATTATAAACTCTAAATCCATCCAAATTGCTTCAGAGTTCATAATTTTACCCTTCCTTATGACTGTGTAATATTCCATCATGTATATGTACCCTTTTTCTTTTTTTATCCAGTCTACTTTCGATGAGCATCATGGTTGGTTCCATGAATTTGCTATTGTGAATAATGCTGCAATAAATATGTATGTGCAGATGTCTTTTTTAAAGAGTGATTTGAGTTTCTCTGGGTATATTCCCAGAAAGGGGATTGCTGGGTTATATGGATGGTCAATTTTTAGATCTTTTAGGAATCGCTACACTGTTTTCCACAGAGGTTGTACTTGTTTATATTCCCGCTAACAGCATAGAGGTGTTCCCTTTTCCCCGCATCCTCTCCAGCATCTGTTGTTTTTTGAGTTATTGATGATGACTATCCTGACTGAAGGCAGGTAGTATCTCAGTGTGGTTTTAATTTTTATATCTTTGATGAATAGTGAGGCTGAACACTTTTTCATGCCTCTGCTAGCTGCTTGTATGTCTTCTTTTGAGAAGTGTGTATTTCTATCTTTTGCTTACTTTTTAGGGCTGTTGGCGTTTTTCCTTTTGGCATGTTTGAGTTCCTTGTAGATCCTGCATGTTAGACAAGTGGGACCTCATCAACCTGAAAAGCTTCTGAAAAGCTAAAGAAACCATCAAGAGAGTTGGGAGATGGACCACAGAATGGGAAAAAATATTTGCCAACTGTATATCTAAATTAAATTTCTAAAAGCACTCATCTAGACAAGATCTCATCTAGGTATATTAATGGTGTGTCAGGATCAACATCTTGCTCTTAAGGGTGGTCTTAAGTATGCCACATAGCTCAGGTTTTGACCTTCTGTTTCAGTGACTGATTTATTATTGAATTGATGAGTTCTTTCTCACAATAGACTGAATTACTCAATTATTTGAGCACCATATGGACACTCATGTTTGAAGTTTATTAGATTGTAAGATAATGAAATATGGAGTCAGTTTCTAGATTTAATTATGCAGAGCACCTAGTCTGGCTAAGATACCATGTGTGTTCATATTAAAAACACAGCCTGTGGTCTCAGTTCCATGTTTGCTGCATAGGATAGACTATGTGTAGACTTGGTGAGTTCAGTTTTTTGAGCTCCTACTGTTAGTCACAGGTGCTGAAGATTCCAAAGATGACTATTACATTTCTTCTGTCTTTGAAGGCCTCCTAATCTAAAGAATGATTCAGACCTGACAACTCTTTTAGCAATGTGCTAGGTTTTTTATCAGAGATGTTTAGGAAGTTTCAGAAGAGTCCCTAGAGAACAGAGTCTGTGCGCCTCTCATCTCTAGT